GGGCGACAGCCTAATCTGGGCTGGTGCCTGGTGTTATGATGTTTCCTTCTGTGCTCTGTCAGCCCTAATACGTGTGCACACAGATACCCGCTTCAGTGCTTCTCCATCCATAGCACCTGGATAACCGGTGTGAGGAAATCTTTGTGGTTAATATGCTTAAACATGCAGTTCAAGTGTGTCCTTTCAAAAGTTTTGTGTGTTTTGAAACAGAAAAATATTTGCGCTTTGAGGAAAGAAAAAAAAGAAGAGGATATTTAACATTTGCGTAGGATCCTTATTTTATCCAGTTTATATTACCGTTTAGTGTGTTTAAAATACATTTGAGAGATGTACTGAATGTATCTGAAAGATATCTAAGGCATGTCTTCATTTTGCAAATCTTGTGAATTCAATATCAAATCACAAAAACTGATGCCACTTGAAGCATAGACATAAATAAATAAAATTTATTCAAGTTGAAGGAAAAACCAAAAGTGAGCTTGCCTAGCTGAAAATTAACATCCCTGAGTTGTGTTTTGTGGGTTGTTGTCAGGTATTTTGAATACCAGTAGTTAGGAATATTTCTCTACAAAGAGATTGCTTAACATTCACGTACAGTTTTCTGAATAAGTTGCTGACTTAGTCTTCTGTGTTATTTTGCTTAGGGCTCAACAGTAAAGCCTGGATCTGTCAGAGAATTTCAGAGAACAGAGGATACGAGGCGATATTTACATCAAAACAGGTAAGAATATGTGGTAACAGTAATTTTATCTAAAGTTGCCTGATGAATGCACATACTCACTGAATGTGTGTAGAAAATCGTGTTGGTTTCTGTTGCTTCACGGAAAGTGTGCACGACACTTTATTTATAAATGTTTGCTCCAGATTAGGAATTTGTATTCTAATAATGGCAGCGACCAACAGGTGTGGCTGTTCCTGTCCAATGCGTGGCTTCAAATCAGTCAGTTAAAGAAATCTGCTGAGTTAAAGTGCGTACTTTTTAAACCCATTTTCATTATTTTAGTTGTGCTTTTATTAAATAACTGAAGCTCTGTTACATACAGGACAGAAGGGATAAACATGCTGCAGGTTTAGGGGAAGCATAAGGAGAGTTACTGTGGAGCAGCTGATGTGCTGCAAGGTCACATTCTTGGTTGACTCTTGGTAGCTGCAGTAACGTGCTTTTCTGTGCCGTGATCCTTTAGGTCAGGAGAGGAACGGACAGAATGGGAGTCAGTGCTGAAAACAGGTTCCTTGGTCTACCAGAGTAGACTTTCTGAATTATGTCCATATTCTTTAATGATTATTTGGCTTCTTGGGGGGAGAACTTACTTATAGGTAAGGGTCAGAGCTGGAGAGATATAAATGAAGCGTTCAGGTTTGAGAAAAGGCTTTTGGGTGTCCGGTTAAAAGAACAGGAGGGAAGTGTCTAGCTTCTTACTAATGGAACTAAAATCAAAATTGATAGAACCTTTAATATGCTATTGAAGCATTTCCGTGTTCTGTGGAGTGAGAGTGAATGTGCAAGGCCTCAGCAGAAAACCTACTCAGTTGTACTAGGAATGTTAAAAAAACCAAACTATCAACCATGTATCATTGCCTACACTGTCAATATAAATTAATTTTTAATGGCATTCTAAAATTGTATTGAAAGAGAAAATTAAATAAAGAATAATGTGTAAATTTTTCCAGTTTTGACCACATTTTAATAGGCATTTTGAAATGTGCGGTAAATATGCAGATACAGTAGCTGTACTGATATAGAAGAGGGTAAATCCATTAGTGTATCTCACCGTTCCTTCTCCGTTAGTGTCTGCAGGAAAGGCATAAAATAATACAGCTGTCTGATGTGTTCTCCCCAAATAAAGGGAGTGCTTTTGGTTTGAAAGACTTGCACACAGGGGGTTGTTTATTTATTTATTTTTCTATTTGAGCACTTGTGGTCAACATGAAAATAATTAGACTTTACAAACGCTGGATTCCATGGCATACGTGAAAGAAATAGGAGAAGGCTAGGAAGCCAGGAGAAAGCTGCTGTTTACATAGACAGATTCTAATGATAAAGGACATTGTAGTTCACTAGGGTATCCAGTGTTTTCAAAATTTAACTTAAGGATGGCTGCAGATCTTCATGCATAAGTAGCTAATCAGTGGTATAAATTAAATGTAGCTTATTCATGTTGTGCTGCAACAGGGTGAAATTCTTAATGAGGCACTGAAAACAGGTCGTATCGTTGTTGCCTTTAAAATTGTGTAAAAGCAGCTCTATGGCAATGAGTAATTTTTTATCTTTTAAACTTGTGTAAGTCAGATACTTCATTTGTGGCAACCACAAGCTGTAAACTGCTTCCACAGTAATTCTGTGCAAATGCCTTGGCAGGCAGCCTCCTTTTTTGACTTCAGCATGCTGGAGTCATTAAAACTCTTAGGGCTGGATGTAACACAGACTTCATCTCAAGAGTACTTTGGTTGCTTCAGTAAATAGAGCGTGTGCCTCTGGACAGGCCGGTGCCTTCCTGATGCGGCAAAGCTGTGCGTCCTCTGCTCCGAGGACGCTTCTTGGCACTCGGATGAACCTGGTTCTGGGTCTTCCACATCGCTTAAGCTTCTCTGTGCAGAGTAGATAACACCCAGACAGCAGGACTGACATTTTTTGGGAATGCATTGGTGAGTGTGTCTCTAACCCGCAGCTCCCCCAGGAGTGGAGGCTGCAGAGTCCTGACTGTCAAGAGGGAGCTTCTTGATTTTCTTTCTGTACAGTAACACGGCAAGGAACGTGTTGGAGACTGTGGACCTTGGGAATTTTTTCAGTGCTAGCAGCTGCCTTCTAGCAAAGAACTGACTGCAACATTTCTTTTTTGTTGTTGATGCGATGGATAAAAGACAAATCGGTTATTTTTTACCTCATGGCTTTGATGGCTTGTATCGCTGACAGGAAGTCAGCGCTGGGTCGGTGACATGAGCAGATTTGTTCCGAAGATAGCAGAGGGTGCTAATGTTGACAAAGAATTTTGTTCTTTCCAGAGCAGAATAAGGCCTACAGTAACCAGAATATAGCCTTTAAAGAGAAATTCCATCTTTGTTGATTTTGAAATCATTGTTAATTAAGCAAGTTAAGTTCTTTAATTATGAACTGCAGTAGTTGTGGTCTGACTTGTTATCACAACGTGAATTCTTTAGCTGTCCTAAATCTCACCTTTGTGGGATTGTCAGAAGCTAATTTTCTAGGCAATTACTCTTATAAAAACAGCTGTAATCTAGTGAAGAATTCATCTAACAGCAGTTTATATGCATCAGTGGCCAATTCCCCTTCCACCTGATGTTCACCTGCAGGGATACTGATGAATTACGAAGACCTGAAACTCTAAATTTGGTGCAGGACAGAGAGCATCACCAAGTGCTAAGGAGTTATGTGGACAGGACAGAGAGGTAGGGAAAAGAAACATACGGTTTCTACTGATTTAATTTTATCATCCTCCTCCCCACCCCTCAAATAACCACTGTAGCCGATTGTTCCTCTAAATGAGGATCATCTAAAAAGTTCCTTGATAGGTTACTTAATCATCTCTTAGAGAATGGCTGTACAGTACCGAGTACCTCATTGTAACAGGCCAAGTGTATGATCCCAGTGGTACATCTTGAGCTGTAGAAGAATTCTGTCAAAATTCAGAAGAGATAGAGATGACTGCACAAAGTCGGCCATGCTCCACAAGTTAAGTCTTATCACAGCAGCTGGCTTAACAGCTTTGCTTACCGAACAGTTACTCTTCTGATTTGATGAGATGCTCGTTTGTCACTGACAACTCATGTATGAAAATAAGTTACTATTTAAGATAAAAACTATTCTTACTCTCTGTTTTTCCATTTGTCAGACCCCCAGCTGATTCACCTTGCTTTCTCCCTCCATCAAGCCACCACAGTCAGGTAACACATTGAATCTACTATTTTATTTTTATTTTTGGAGGAGTTTGATACAAAATGAAACCGATGCCAGCCATAACACTTGGACTATTTCTCTGTAAGCCATCTGCTTTACCCTGTGTAGCTTTGTTCTTACAGCCTGCTGCGCTCTTTTCTTCCAGGTGCCTCACACAGATCCCGAGCTGCACCGCAGGCACATCGAGCGCACCCGCCGGGAGGCCCAGCTGGCAGCACTTCAGTATGAGGAGGAGAGGATGAGAACAAAACAGATTCAGAGAGAAGCTGTCCTGGACTTTGTTAAGGTACCTCCGTTTAGTACCTACGTGATACTGGACCTTTTCTGAATCTGTTAGTGAAAATCAGTTCCAAGGTCTTTGATGCTTGTGCGTCGCACTCGTGGTGTGCATGGCATTTTATAAAGAAAATGGAGAAGGAGCATTGAAGTCCATTCAGTGTCAGTGCTGTAGCTCAACATAGACAAAACTAAAACTGGGGAGGAAGATGAAAGAGATTTATCCCAAGTACGATTGTTGCAAAGAATTTTATTTTTACACAGCTGCCTCATTCTCTCAGTTTTTCATTTGCGTAGATGGGACAGGTTTGATGTAAGAAAGAAGAGGGTTCTTTATTTGAGAAGGCGTAGAGGCAGCTTAATTTTGAAGACAAATTTGGCCCAGAATAAAGCAGTCATACACGCAGGAGAGTCATGTTGCCTGGTCAATTTTGATATTTTGTGATGCATAAATAAGTTACCTCCACATAAGGCAAATTTATGATACATCAGATACTCTGCAGACACTGCGTCTTTATTTTCTCTTTCACTGCAGTTAATATGAAGTAGTCTGCTGCTTACCATGCAAACTGGTTTATATGCTAGTTGACTTAAATTTATTTTACTGTTTACTGAATTTATTTTACTGTTTACTGCTCTGGTGACCTACACAAATCTCACCATCACAAATTTAAGAAATATTACAGTTAATACTTTGGGCTTAGGGCAGCCTTCAGAGAGGAAAAGACCAATGTATTTCATTTCTGTAACATCTACAGTTAGTTTAGAATAAGATTTTTTAACTGCCTGAAACTAGGCTTTTCATTTACATCAACTGATCTTAGGCCCCGACAATGTTTTGTAGAAAAGACGGATTATTAAAGATTCAGCTCAGTCTTTCAGTTAAAGACTTGAGATATTTAGGATGCATTTTGTTCACTGATGAACCTTTTGGGGTTTTTGGTTTTGATTGCTTTTTTTTCTTCTGTTGCCTTTGTTATTCATGAGCACTTTATTCTCGGCAATTAAATTCCTCCCTTCGGTTGTATTTTGGGTTTATTATGCATCTTCAATATGCAAAAACAATCTGGGGATTTGGGGTTTTATGGAATAGACTGGTTTTTTACTAATAATACCAGTGAAGTTTCAGCTTGAAATTTCTCCAATGCATGTTTTATTTAAAAACTAAGACTTTTTGTGTTTTAAAACACTTGTAAATTGTGCTGATTTGTTCTGGGCTTTTGCTTCTCTCTTACATGCTTTTAAATTGGTCTTTCATTTTGCCTTTTTCTCTTTAGCAAAAAGCATCTTTAAGTCCTCAGAAGCAAAGTCCTCTGGATAGTGAGGTAAGAGTCCAAGAAGAGGATTACTAGGGATGTCAGCACCTGAATTTTTAGCTCTATCCATCAGAGATTTTTTTTTCCTCGTTGTGGAGAACTTTTCAGGACTGGGTTATAGCACAGATTTTTATACTCGCTATTAAGCCTTGGGTTGGGGTTTTTTTAGCTTATGGGACCAATCTAATATTTCCTTCTGTTCATGTAGACTGCCTGTCTAAGTATGTTCTTTTATTCGGTTTTTCTATGTTTTCTGTGTTCTAAAACAGGAAGCATGTTTCATATTCCATTTCAAGATGCTCCCAGCGAGCAGTACAGGTTACTTTCTAACAGGAGCACTCAGACAAGTTGCTGTGTTGTAGTCATCCTTCACTGATTGGTTTTCTCCCAGTTTCTTATCACTAGACACCAGTTATCCCAGAAAGATTAAGCATTAGAATTTTGAGGGCTATCTGAAAAAGAAATCAATAAATTTTTTACAGGTTTTATACTGGGGTAGTTCTATAGTCAAAACCAGAAAGCCAGTAGGGAACACAATTAATACAAGGCTCAGTCTTCTAGGATATACAAAGCTGAGCCAGTGACATCTGTTCACTCTCTGCATCAGATTTCTGCATGGTAATAGCTCTTCCACTGCCTGCCATCCCCACTTCCCTCCAGGGGAACATAATTCACTTGGCAGTGTTAATCAGATCAAAACTTTTAATAATATAATGAATATAAATAGTTCTTTAGCAGCATTTTCCAGCTAACTCTTTTTTTGTTAGAAATTTACCAAAACATGGAGTAATTGGAATAGGTTTTGCTCCTTTTTCTTCTTAATGCTCTTCAGATCTTAATTTATTCTTTTAAAGCGTCCTTTGTTCTACCACAACATGTGTGTGAATTCATAGTTCTGCAGTTGCTTGAGACAGCACAGAAAGCAGAGTAATTGATTCCTTAAGTAGTACGGATACACTGTAATTTATGGGTCATGTGGTGCTGTATTCTCCAGACTTACATATACTTTGCAGATTTATTTTCTTTTAAAAAGCCTCCCAATGCCATAAACAGTACGTGTTCCAAAATGTCTGTCTGTTCACATGCCGTGTGTTTCTGACATTCTGTGTGTTTCTGACATTACTCCATCTCTCCCACCTCCCAGTGTCCCTTTCCATCCAGAAGGTCTCAACATACTGATGATAGTGCCTTGTTAGTGGTAAGATCCTGCACGTGACGGCCTTTTTTCTGGGGCAGATTCTGGAGCGTAGAAATAACAATGTGTTATGGTTGTCTCAGATTAGACCGACTGCTTTAGAGCTAATCTAAATAGCATAAAACATGACCATCTCCTTTGAAAAGTAGCTGAGCTGTGACCTTTATTATTACAAATATGTTGATACTTGTGTTGCCAGCCATTTGTTAATAATATAACAAAGCTTTCCCACGAAAATTACTGATCGTAAAGAACAGCGTCTAAAATGAAAAATTCACCTGTAGTTGTCCTGGTTTGATTTGCTTCCTAACTGATGTGCTCTTCAGTGTCACATAAGCAATTTTAACTCTGAGCACAGCATTCTGCGTTAACTTGCCTGCGTCCTGCACGTGGTGCTTAGAAATCCCAAGTGTCTCGGTAACTGTATCGTAGCGCAAGGGAAAACTACTCTAGGTACGAATGCTGCAAATCATGAGATATCCCTCATACTTTTTTTCTTGTTGATGGATGAAGATACCTTAAAAATAATCTATTTGGAACACTTAGCAAAAATAAAAACATTTGTGCACTTAATTCATGTTTTATGCTATTTCTTCCTTTATGGCATCCTAGCACTGTAGCATAATTAAAGAATATAATTAATGCCATAAGCCATGTCTATGAAAGAAAAATATACCTGATTTGCCTGCTGTTGCATGACTGCATGCCTGAGATTTACTTAATTCATGTGCTCCCGTTATCTGACTAAATTTTCTCTAGGCAGTGCTCTTGGGTAAGGTATCTCTCTCCGGAACACATTGGTTGAGATATTTAGTGTCTCTTTATTCAGACTTTTTGTTTCTCCTGCTTTCATGTGACTAGCTGGGAAAGAGAGCTTGTAATACTAGAGAGAGATTTAGTGGTTGTGTGTGTGCCTGTTTAAGAGAAATCACACTCAATTAGCATATAAAAATGTGTTTTCATATTTAGATAATAAGAAACAAGAGAACAGCAGTGTTTTAGTTAAATCCTGGTACTCTGTTGCCAGTGAATTCATCCTTGGAATGTATTTTAGAGATACCTTTAAGGACTCTATTTCTGTTTGATTGTGTGATCCCATGACTTTTGTTGTGAACTAATATATACAATTTTATGTTACGTGACTTGAAATTCGTAGAAATTCTTTTGAAACTGGCTTCCATTGCTGCTTGTTTCCTTTGTGGCTTTAAGCAAGTCACATCCCTGCACTTCACAAAAATGTGGCCGGGTTTGTAGGGAA